GTGGCTTTGCAGGGATGAAACGTACCCTCCCCAGTGCTCAGTGGCCATGTCTTCTCCAAGGAGACACATGAGGTCATTGAGCAGCAGTGTGTGGGCCAGCAATTGTCCCTCCAGAGAGTTTGCATTGGGCTGGGGGACCCTCCCCAGCAGTCAGAGGTCTGGAAGCCCCTATGGGGACACCCTCACTCAGGCCACGGGGGTGCCAAGACACTTGGGCTGCAGCTCCGGGTCCGAGGGCTCCACATCGAAGAGGTTGACCAAGCAGGGCCTGGGGGCTGGGAGGGCCAGGGAGCTGTGGGCAGCTGGCAGCAGGTTGTGCTCATGACCCAGCACACCAGACTCTAGCGAGTCAGTCTCTGCCTGCAAGGTGAGGACATTCTTGAGGGAGGTGGCAGCGCGGGCCCCACTGTTGGAGTTCCTCATGGAGAGGGAGATGGCGCTGGGACGCGGCTCCCCCACGCGCCAGCAGCAGGGCAGGTATTTGCCCATGGCCCTCTTGAAGTCCCTCATGAAGAGCGGGTAGATGATGGGGTTCATGGTGCTGTTGCAATACCCCAGCCAGGTGAGCACGTCGAAGAAGCCGGCTGGGACACAACCACACACTGCCTGGCAGGGGGACACAGCAGGCATTAGCACCATCTCCCACCTCAACCTGGATCCCGAGTAGGTATCCCAGACACACCAACATTCTCCTTTCAAAGGAACCCTCCAAAACCCTTTCAAAAGAATTTTTGCCATGTCCTCACTCCTTGGGGACACTGCATCTTCAATCCCACAGGTTTTCCAGCAAGACCTACAGGCATCAGAGCTCCGACCCAGCAAAGAGCTTTTGAAAACCTGAGGTCCAAAACCCCCACAGCTGCTTACCTGAGTCACATTGGTGACAAAGAAGGGGAGCCAAGCCACGAAGAACATGCCCAGGAGAATGCCCAGTGTCAGCCTGGCCTTCAGAGCCTTCTTGCTGTGCTTGTTGGTGAACCTCCTGCCCTCAATGCCAGCCACGGGCTGGCTCGGGGTGCAGGGAACCTGCAGCAGGAGGTGGGGTGGTGAGTGGGCACCTCCCCGCGGGCCAGAGCACAAGGAAAGCGACATTTGGGGCTGTAAATCCTGCAAAAAAAAACTGGCATTATTTCCCTTTGCAGAAGGATGGCACACACTACACTCCCTGAACCCAGGAATCAGGAAGAGTTGAAATCTTCAACATCAAAGAGATTTTATATATTATTTTATTATTTTAATAGGGTTTTTTTTTACTATAAAATAGGGGCTTTATCATTAAGATGCTTCTTTTGTAGAAAAATCCAAATCCGATGTTTTGGTGAGGATGAACCATGCCCTGAAGAGGCAGTTCTAGCTACTGATTAGAACAGCAAATTAATTATATTTTTAAAAGCAGGACATCAAACATTCCAGCCCACAAACCCCTTAACTTGCCCAGGGAAGCTGTGGCTGGCCCATCCCTGGCAGTGTTGAAGGGCAGGTTGGATGGGGCTTGGAGCAACCTGGTCTGGTGGGAGGTGTCCCTGCCCATGCAGGCGGTTGGATCTAGATGATTCAAGTCCCTTCCAACCAAAACCATTCCATGATTCTGTGGCTGAACTAACTCTCTCCTCTACCCACTCTTACAATCCACAATTATTATCTCAGCCGTCTGCCATAATGAAGTGAGGCCTCACAGCCATGCAGCTCCCTGCCCAAAAAGAAATCAGAATTCCAGTTAAACAGATGAAATCCATGGGTTCCTTGGCTGACCCCTCCTTTGCAGCTCACTCTGAGCCCATCTGGGGTTCCCAGGAACCTTCTGGGACACTTTGCTGAAATCCAAGGTTGGAGGCTGGTTTTCAACATCATCCCCCCCACCCCCTGAGCAGGGCAGCACTGGTGAGGTGGCAGGTTTGTTTTTGTCAAGTCCCAAAACCTGGAATCTAGGGTGGGAAATAAGTATTTTATTATATTGTCTGCTTTTAATTTTTTATTCTCATTTTCCTCTCCAAAGTCTGGTGCCTCTTAGCTCATGTGGGAGGGCTGGCTGGGCCAGAGAGTCCTGCCTCCTTTCTTAAAAGAGAGAGAAAACCAAACTAAATCAAGGTATTTAAAGGCAATTAAGTTTTTCTTTTTCCCTGTAGGATATGAGGTCAATAAAGCCCATTAAAGGGAATTAAAGCTAATAGATTTAGTGACAACTACCTTCTCCTGAAGAAGTACAAACAAGTGCAGCCAGGGTTTGGTTCTAAAAACCACACATGCTGGTTTAACCAGCACTGGAGTGAGGAGATATTCTTGCAGTTCCCATTATAGAACAGGTAACAAAAATAGAAGCTGCCTGTTCAAAATAAGGTGCTCTCCAGAATTTGGGATTTTTATTTAAGCTCCTTCTACTCCATCTGTCTCACACCCACCATGGCCAAGATTTATGTGTGGAAAATCAGATAAGATTAAACCCCTCTGGGATGACGTGAGCCAAGAAGGGGGAGAAACTGAATTTATTTGCACTGCTGAGTATTTTTGCCTGGATCTTCATTGATTTCTCTGCTTCTGCTCATGATTCTGTGCTCCTGAGCAGCTGGAAAGCACAGCATGGCTGGGACAAGACATGATGCACCTTGCAGAAGACATCTTGAGGACATCTTGGGGGTGGATGTTGCCCACAATGTCCCTCCCTGTGGTCTGGTTGCCAAAGCCCTTTGCCAACCCCAGGCCATCCTGAAGACAGAAACACCCTGAGGACCCAAACCACGAGGGTCTGCAAGGAGCAACATGGCTGTGGCCACCTTACCTGTGGTGTGGTCTCATCAGAGGTGGTAGTGGTGGCCACGTTGGAGGCAAGGGAAGCCACCTGCACTGCTTGTTTGCGGGCTGCCAGCAGGATGCGGCAGTAGGTGAAGGAGATGGCAGCAGAAGGGAGGAAGAAAGTCAGGCAGGAGGCCACCAAGGCATAGGGCAAGCTGACCAGCAGCCTACACTGCTCCTTGTCCACTCGGGAGGTGACATTTGGGGACTGGACTTCAAACTCCAGCCTGTGCCAACCCATCTTGATGGGTAAGAAGGAGGCCAGAGCAGCCAAGGTCCAGGTGGCCAGGATGAGCCAGAGGGCTCTGCAGGAGGTCATCCTCAGCTTGTACTTGAGGGGGGAGATGATGAGCAGGTAGCGGTCCAGGCTGATGAGGCAGAGGTTGAGGATGGAGGCGCTGCAGCACATGACATCGAAGGAGTACCAGAGGGAGCAGAAGTCACCCCGCAGCACCCAGCGGCCGTACAGCTGGTTGAGCATGGCTGGGGGCATGACCACCAGCCCCACCATCAGGTCGGACATGAAAAGGGAAACCAGGAAGTAGTTGGAAGTGTTGCGGAGGGAGCGCTGGGAGACGATGAGGAGGATGAGGAGGAAGTTCCCCGCCGTGGTCAGCAGGATGATGAAGCAGAGGAAGGCAGCCACCCAGCTGCTCCCCACCAGTGCCGAGTGCTCCCCCAGCAAGCTGGAGTTGGGGGCCCCAGAACCACCCTCCATGAGGAGCTGGGGGGACCTTCTCCAGCCCTGACCTGCACTAGGTGATCATCGCCAGAGGCAGCTCCAGGGGAAGGACCATCCCTCTCCCTGCTCCGTGTCCCTCCCCCTCCCTCCTCCTCTCTCTCTTCCTCCACTCTCCCTCTTCACTGGCAAGCAGGGCAGTGTGACATTCCCAGTAGCCGATCAGCAAGAACAAGGGTACCTCCCTGTTATTCACAGCCAGGAATGTCCTTGTCCCTGCAAATCCCTCTGCACTGGGATATCCCTGGACACAGCTCTGGGATGCTGGGGATCCTCAGGATGCTGGAATGCTCAAGATGCCAGAGATTGATGCTGGAATGCTCAAGATGCCAGAGATTGATGATGGGATGCTTGAGATGCCAGAGATGCTTTGGATGTGATGAACCAGGGAATAATCTGGATCCCAGGATGCTCCAGATGCTGGGATACTGTGGACCCCAGGATAGTCCGGATGCTGGGGATGCTCAGGACCTCAGGATGCTCCGGATGACAGGGATGCTCCGGATCCCAGGACACTCCAGATGCTAGGAACGCTCAGGACCTCAGGATGCTCCAGATCTCAGGACACTCCAGATGCTGGGAATGCTCTGCCCCCCGGTGCTCTGTCCCCCGTGGCAGGGGCTCCGCCGAGCGGCTCCGTGCCGGGCTCTGCCGCTGCCGCAGCCAGAGCCGGGAGAGGCAGAGCAGCCCCGAGGCGAGTGCGGAGTTGTTCCCAACCTCCCAGCCAAGCTCCCCCGTCAGGAGGAAGTTGGGGAAGGTGTCCCTCCGTGTCCCTCCCCCGGCAGAGGTGGGTGCAGAGGTGTGCGGGGAAGTGTGACCTGCGGCTCTGGGATGCACGGAGCAGGAGGCAGAGATGCTGGTTCTGAGGAGGTGGGGCTGGGGCTGGGGTTGGGAGGGAGAGGAGGAGATGAAACGAAATGCTAATGAAAACAGGGATCTGGTGGGAATTTCAAGAAGTGGCAGCCACAGAGTTCCTTTTTCCTCCTTAACGACACAGCTAGTGCCTGCTCTGCCTCCTCTCTGCCACAGGGACCCTGTGGTCACCTGGCAAGTGGGCAGTGGGCCCGGGGTCAGCACCTCGTGGCCAGCCCAGCCCGCAGCACCAGCCTCCGCTTTTCAAAGCAAAATTTTACAACGCCAAATAAAAAATGATCAAACCTGCAGGCAACAGCTCCCAATTCACCTGCCTCAGGAGGGACTTGATGGGTTGGTTTTCCAGCAGTCTGGATGGAGGGGTGAGCAGAAGCCAAGGGAAAAGGCTGCACTCATGCTAGGACAGCCAGTAAAGGAGGTTTTTCACCCTCAAACAAATGGCTGCAGTTTCTGTTGAGGGGACACCTGACTCCAGCACAGCCCAGAGCTCTCTGTGTCTGTTGTGCTCCTGGCACCAACCCCTGTGGCCACAGGGCCAGACATTGTCCTTCTCTGTGAGGGTGGTGAGACCCTAGAACAGGTTGCCCAGGGAAGCTGTGGCTGCCCCATCCCTGGCAGTGTTGAAGGGCAGGTTGGATGGGGCTCTGAGCAACCTGGTCTGGTGGGAGGTGTCCCTGCCCATGGCAGGGGGTTGGGACTAGATGGTATTCAAGGTCCCTTCCAACCCAAACCATTTGTGCCACCTCTGGAGCTTTTGTTAACTCATTTCCAGTGCTTTTCTAATCACCTTTCCAACAACTTTGTCATGCATTTCTCAGGGCCTGAATGTGCAGCTCAGCTCTGTGAGATGCAAAGCAGGGCTCACGTCTGCAGATGAACACAAGCCTTCATGCAGCCCACTTGCCCCCCTGGGGTCTCCATGCCACTAGAAAGCTGCTCCTTAGGAAGCAGCTGCTGTCACTCACACCAGAACAAGCTCTCCCAGGAGCTTGTGCAAGGGTGCTTGCCCTCCCTCTGCTTCTCCAGGACCCCCTCCTTGGATGCTCCCAGCCAAACCCACCCCAGCCACCCCTGCATCCCTGTGTCCTGGCGGGGATCCCAGGGCAGAGCACACACACGCGAGGCTCTGATCGCAGCAGGAGGTTGCTTTGGAAAAGCTCTTGTACCAGGAAACCCTCATTTCCTTGTCCCATCTGTGCTGGGAACAAGCAAGAAAACCCACCCGAAGCCCATGCTGCTCCAGGCTCCTCAGCCTGGGGACATCAATGCTGCAGCTCAGATTTCTCCCAGCTGGCTCCACACAAGTGCACAGCTTGGAAGTTGTGCCCAAGTGCAGAGCCAGGCTCCCTTCTCAGCCCTGCTGCCCCAAAAGCTTAGGAGCACCTCAGTTTGTCTCCAGAGAAGGAGATAGGATCAGGAGTGTGGAGCACAACCAGGGAGGTTTTGTACTCTTGGTTTGGATGCTTTTCCTGGGGAAGTGAATCTGTATTGATTGAAGGAAAATGTGTTTAAAAAAAAAAATATTTTAAAAAATCTGCCTTAAAATGAGATCCAAATCCTACTGTTGTCCCTGCAAAAACTTCTCTGCTCCAGCAGCTCTGCAGGCCTGTCTGTGCGCTCTGCCCTGTGCTGAGTTTCTGGGCACATCTGGAAGGGACCATGGTTTCCACCAGCTCTGCTCTCCAGTACCACTAGCAGGGAAAGTAAAACCAGGTTGTCAACAGCCACCCAAGTGTCACCATAGCAAAGAAAGGGTTGGTGAGGTGGAGAGACGAAAACTGGGAGGCTGGGAGACCTTAGGGAGGACACCCAGGCAGTCCAGGGCTCAATGCAGTGGCCTCCAAAAGTACAATCTACTCTTGGGATCTCATTCCACCTTTAACTGGGGTGGCTCCTTAGGGCAGATTCTGGATGGAGCTTGGCCAGTTACCTTTTCAAGGTCTGTGTTTTCATCTGCCTTCCACTGCCTGTCTCCACTGAAGCTCAGGTTGTGTGGAAAGGAGGTGGAGACATCCTGCTCTGAGCACCTTAAACTGCATCTCCTGGAGTTTACAGGAACAGTAGTCCCCTGGCTAAATCCAGCCCCTCTTTTCACCAACCACCAATAAAAGGGCCACATGGTGGTGGTCTGACAGCATGGATTTCTCCACCTTTTCCTGCCTCTGGGCTCTTCTGTAAAGCTCCTGTCCTTGGGAGGACACTTCACAGCCTAAAATAAATTATCTTTATGCCCAGGTCTTCCTTTTCAGCCCATCCCCTTCCTTGTGGCAACTGATGCCTTAACACAAACCCCCACCACCTGGAGAGCTGCTCTCCAAGCTCACACAGAGCCCCAAGGACACAGCCTCCTGCCCCTCCATGAGCAGACAGGACCTGCCCCAGAGCTGGGCTCAAACATGGGAAAATCATCTGATGGTTTCTGAGGGTCCAGCCAGGCTGGTTGGCCAGGCACCAGGGGGACCAGAGGTTTGCAAGGGCAGGTTCTGCCCTGCTGGATCCAAACACCTTTGGAAAGAATCCACTGGTCAGCTAAGGCACTTGTGTCCCCTCCTCACCCACGAAGGGATGTCCATGTCCAAGTTCGCCTTCCTCCACTCCAGAGGCACTCCTGGAGGCCACGAACATCTGGAAGCCAGGGAACACTCTGGATCAAGAGTGTCACCTAGTGGCAACAGAGCCGATAAAGGTTGCACGAGCCCGCAGAGACCCCCACGCACTTCCCACACAAGTGGGACCCCACAGCCCTTAAACCTCCAGGCTGTCGGGACATGGCCCCTTGAGCACAACCAGGCCTGGGCAGCAGCTGCTGAGCAGGCTCCTCATCCCCATGTGCAGCCCATCTGGTGAGGGTTTGGGGTGGGTTTTTCCCTCCTCCTCCCTGCAGGAAGCTGAAGGGATCCATGGCCCTCCCTGCACCCTCCTGCACTGCTGTCCCACCTGGGATCCTGGTGTAAAGGGTCTCTCCCCTGGCCAAAAACCAGCCAGGCACCCAGAGCACTGAGAAATGGAAGTCAGAACTAAATTTATTTAAGAAAAAAACAAACCAAACAACAACCAACCAACCATAAAACTAAACCTTGTAAAAAGGAGGGGGAAGAGGCATTGATTACAAGCTCTGGAAGCTCTTGTCAGGACAGTGCCAAAGAAATCAGCTTTATACACCAGAGAGAAGGGGCAGCAGGAGGGGCCTGGGCCCACCACACCCACCCTGAGCCCCACCCAGCCCTGCAGAAGCAGCCCCCTGTGAAGGTACCTTGGCATCCCGGCACCCATCCCCCTTCTCCCTCCAGTGCAGCAGGGAGAGGGAGGAAAGGAGCTGCCTCCCACCCAGACCACCCCAGCACCATCCCCTGGAGGCCACCAAACGTGAAACCCAGCGCCCACAGATCACCCAGCTCCCTCCTCCCCAGGGAGCTACGTGGTGGCCCTGAGGACCAGCAAGGAAAAGGCTCTCACCACCAGGGTTCCCAGCAACCTCACACACGTGGCCCCATCCCGGGACAAAATACTCCCCGTGAGCTACCTAATAGGAGGGGGCTGGAGGTGAATTCAGGTCCAGGAGGACCAGTTTGTCCATGCTGAGCACGCCTGTCCTTAGGTGGCAGATGGGAAGAACAGGGGGTGCCCCCAGTCCCTCACACCCCAGGAGAGACGTGCATCTCTTGTGGGACTGTGGAGAGGCTGCATCCCTTCTTCCTCTGCCCCAGGCCATTTCCAAGAGGTAAACCCAGCAGAACCCAGCAAGGGCTCCCCAGCAGGCTCCAGGAACCTGCAGACAGCCTCTGGGGAACCCAGCCCACCTCTTGCCCTCAGCCCAAGTCCCCTCATCCCAGTTCCTGCGCTTCTCAATATATTATTACTATTATATGCAAGTAGTTTTGCATCAGAAAACCCCAAGCCCTCTCTGGCTCTGCAGCTCCAGCCCTGCGACCACCTCTCAGCCCTGCTCCTGCCTCCAAACTTCCCTCCAGCCCCAGGGTGTTGTGGAGAGCAAAGCGTGAGGGCAGCTATTAGACAGCAAAGACTCCACCACCCCCCTCCCTCCCCAAACCCCAGCCCTCTCCCTGGCACAACTCCCCCTACAAGGACAGTCCACAAGGGTCAGGTCACTCCTCGCTCTCCTCCTCGTGGTGGTGGTGGCTGGAAGAAGGAGGTTCTTCCACCTCCTGTTCGTGGTGGGCATAGTGGTGGGGGCTGGGACCTTCAGCGGGCATGTTCTCCTCCGCGTTCAGGTAGACGTTGAACAGGGCTCCCTCATGGCTGGGCTCCTTCCCACAAGCCTGGCAGCTACAGAGAAGTATCTTCTCCACCAGCTTGTCCACCCTGGGGATCTCCTCATTGCCTGGACAGTCCAGTGTCACCTGGGAAGAAGGAGTAGGACACAGAGAGTGAGCGGGCAGGCTCAGAGCCCGATGGCCCTCCTGCTGGGGGTGGTCTGACCTGCTGACCTCAGAGGTGGGGTATCTGAAGCCAGCAGAGACAGGCTGCTGCCCATCCAGACCTCCAGGGCCAGGCTGGAGGCAAGAGTGCTCTGGGAATGTCTCACAAGGTGACATCTGCCAAATGTCTGCTTTGAAAGCCAAGTGGAGAGCTGAGCCCTGGGTGCCCAGGCTTGCCTCAGACACAGGGTTTGTGGCTCTGCCAGAATCAGTGGTGGCATGAAACTGGGAGGTCTGAGGGTGATGGGAAATGGGCTGGGAAAGTACTTCTGGACACCTAAAGAAGGCAAAATCTCCCAAGTGGGAGGAGGTGACAAAGCGAGTGGTGAGGAGAAGGGGCAGGTGGGATGAGCACAGGGATGAGCAATGCAGGGAGTGGTGGAGGATGATTCTGCGGAGTGACCATTGGGGCCAGCAGCCCCTTCCATCCAGGCACCTCAGGACAGGGCACACTCACCCTAGAAGGAAACTACAAGTGGGAAAACCTAAGGGAAGGAGAACAACTTGCCCTAAAGTGGTGGCAGAGCAGAGCTGAGAGCTCATGAGCTTCCCTGCAGGAAGAACCGTGGAGCAGACAAGGATACTCACGATTTCCCACATGGACTGGGCTGGCATGCAGGAGTCACAGTGAACCAGGGACTCCGTGGACTGAGGGAAGGTGTTGGGGACACTGTAGCTGAAACACTGTCCCAGACAGGCCCTGCAAAGACAACAGGAGGGCTGAGGGTTCAGGGGAGGTGCCTGCTGTTCCCAACAAAGACAGAAGGAGATCTGACCTTCCAGAGAGACAGACAGAAGGACACTGTGTCTGGCTTCTTGTGCAAGTGACAGTCCCCAAAGCCACTCTGGTGCCATCTGCAAGTGGAAATGGATCCATACCTGTTCTGGATGGACTTGGACTCGCAGCCACTGTGCCCCACGATCTGGGTGATGTTCTTTGCCTCACACCAGGCACTCTTGTCCGGGAAGAGGGCAAGCTTGTTGATGGGTGGTGGGGCAGCCAGGAGAAGTGCTGGGAAGAGGGCACCGACCACCAGGCGTAACATCATGGCCAGCTCTGCTAGTGTCCTACAGCTGGAGACAGAGCAACAAGTCAGTGGGGCAGAAGACAAGCAAGGTGGACTATTTCTCCAACCCCAGGGTTGCAACAAGTGTGTGGGTACTTGTGTCTTAGGATATACTTGTATCTTGGGATGAGAGGGAATGGATTAAAACTGGGAGAGGGGAGATTTAGGTTGGACATGAAGAGGGAGTTCTTCACTGTGAGGTGGTGAGACACTGAACAGGTTGCCCAGAGAAGCTGTGGCTGCCCCATCCCTGGAAGTGTTGAAGGGCAGGTTGGATGGGGCTTGGAGAAACCTGGGCTGGTGGGAGGTGTCCCTGCCCATGCAGGGGGGTTGGGACTGGAAGATCTTCAAGATCCCTCCCAGCCCAAACCAGTCTGGGATTCTATGATTCTATGATCTTCCTCCATGGCCAGGGAGGCTCCCCAAAATACCACACAGGGAGTGACACATGCTGCTCTGCCTTTTCCGTCCTCAAAACCAGCTCTGGGGCAGGCAGTCACCTCCATTACTTCTGAGCCTTGTGCCAGGAGCAAGAGCAGGATTTCCAGCATTTCCCATCCAAAGCTGGGCTGGGAGGAGCCTGCAGAACACAAACCTCACTGCCTCATGGCCGAGCCAGGTGGGAGAAGCAGCAGAAGGTAGAAATGTTTTTATCTGAGGAAGGAGCAGACTTCCCCACTTCCTTTTCTCCCAGCTTAAAAAGCCAAACTGGCCTTGCTGAAAGCTTTCCCAGGGCAAAGACTGCTTTTCTGGGAGGGAAAACCACTCTCCTCCTGGAATTATGCAGCAGGTGTCGCTGCGAGGCAGCAGCAGGAGGGGAGATGTGGAAACCTCAATCATGGGGCTGGAAAAGCCCAATCCAGCATTTATTTTTATAGACCCACTCTCGTTCAGCCAACTCTGAGGACAGGAACTTCAAGTCTGCAGACCAGGGGGTCCTTCAAAGGCCAAGCATGAACCTCCTTCACAAAGGTGGTTGGCCCAGAAGGTCACTTGCCACCCCCAGAGCAGCTGGATCCTCCAGCCAAAGTGCCTGGACTAACACTCCCAATCACTGGGGAAAGGCAGATGGAAAAGCATCACAGAAAACAGGGACATTTTTTCCTTTGTGGAGTTTGGATGGAGTCAGAGCATGAGGCAGACGTTTCTACTCGCGAAAATATTTGTTAGAACCATCTTATTTGTTAGAACCATCTTATTTGTTATTTCCTTCTATTTGTTTATTCAGATGAAGGTCCAAAGCCCACACTGGAAAGACTCCTGTTGATTCCCATGGCTCTTGGGCCCAGCCCTCAAAGTTTGCTGGGGAAGGAGAGGAGAAATGCCTTGTTTATCAGTCACTAGTGTCAGAGGCTGGTCCTTCAGCCCATCCGCAGAATTTTCACCAACACATCCTCAGCTGGAGGAACCAGGTTCATCTAAACCCCTCAGTAAATTCCACAGCTCCAGCTCAGGGATTTTAAGTCTTTATGGGGCAGGTTTCGCCCTGTTCCACCCTCCACTGAGCAGAACCTCCTGGATGGGAATCAAGAGAGAGATGCTTCCCCATCCTTCATCCCAGGCATCAACCTCATTCCCTGGCCCCAGGATCTCTGGAGGAATCAGGTGGGATCTCTGCTAAATTTTCTGTTCCACAGCCACACCCTGGCTTCCTAATCCTTCCAGCACTTGTTCCTGTGAATCCCACAGGTCCCTGGAGAGGACACCTGCCCAAAGCAGGGTTTGCAGCTCTTGGTCTGAGATAAGCAGAGGGTTTTTGCCCCTTAACTTGTCCTGCCACTAATGAGAGCTGTGTGGTTAAATACGTTTCTCCTTGGGCTTCGTTCTGCTCCCTTGTCTCCATTTCAGTGGGGGAATTCTGCAATTTCTGCTCAGAGGAAGAGCCACACTCTGGGTTTGTTGGTTTTCTGAAACCAGGATCGCTCATTCCTCAAATGCCAGCAGCTCCGCGCTGAGGAATCCTGCTCCCAAAGGCAAGTCCCAGATCAGAGCTTGGATGTGACCCAAACAGCAATCACAGCCCCCCAGTGAACAGCTGAAATTCCTCTGGAGTCAGCACACAAGTTCACTTCCACATGCCCGATTAGAGAGCAATTTCCTTCTTTCCAAAGAAAGGTGGTGACTGTTTTTTTCTCTATGCATCTCCAAAGAGACCAACATTGCTCTCTTTGCTGACAGCCCTACCCCCCTGGGACTTTAATTTTATTTTTTTCCCCTGGGACTTTTTTTCCCCTGGAGGGAGGTGTTCAACAGAGAGGTGTTTCTGCAGCACCAGCCAGAGCAGATCCATTGCCAGAGGGATGAAGGATCATCTTGGAGCATCTGGGCTCCCCTCTCACTCTGATGCTGAAGGGCAGATGTTGTGCTCTGCTCAAGCACAGGACCTGGCCTGGGTTCAGGACAGCACTTAAACATGCTTGAGTCCTCTCCTGTCTGAGCAGGGATGTCTTTGTAATGGGGCCCCCGGGCAGCACAGCTGCTGATCCAGCTTCAGAGGGTCAGTGGGGGAGCAGTAGAACTAGGTACCTCTTCAGAGCTGGAGCAACTGCAGCTTTACCCAGTCCTCAAGGCACTGCCACCCCCACCTCACTGTGAGCTTTGGACAGGTCCACATCTACAGAGAGTCATGGAATGGTTTGGGTTGGAAGGGACCTTAAAGATCATCTAGATCCAACCCCCTGCATGGGCAGGGACACCTCCCACCAGCCCAGGTTGCTCCGAGCCCCATCCAACCTGCCCTTCAACACTGCCAGGGATGGGGCAGCCACAGCTTCCCTGGGCAACCTGGGCCAGGGTCTCACCACCCTCACAGGGAAGAATTTCTTCCTAATGTCCAACCTAAATCTCCCCTCTTGCAGTTTTAATCCATCCCCCTCATCCTCTCACTACAAGCCCTTGTCCCAAGTCCCTCCCCAGCTTTCCTGGAGCCCCTTCAAGCACTGGCAGGTGCTCTAAGGTCTCCCTGGAGCCTTCTCTTCTCCAAGCTGAACACCCCAACTCTCCCAGCCTGTACATACTATTTTCTTTCTCCCAGGAGCTCAAGTCAAGAGGGAGCTGGGGCTGGAAGGAGCCTGCTCACAGCCCAGCTCAAACCAGTCATGCGAACTGAGCTGCCACCAAAACCATTCATCTGACAGGAGCCACAGGGCCAGAGACAAAAGCACCGTGTTCCTTCCCCCTCCACCCCCCCAACTCCAGCTGGGAAGGGAGAAAGGAAGATGAGGCACCCGAGCAGGTTTGCAAACTCCTGATTAAATAAAGGCAGGGAGCACATTCCTCCATGACAAGCTAAATTACACGTTGCAGCCCCTACAGGAACAAGTGTGTGGCTCCTGGGGCTGACCCCAGCCCTGCCATGAGCCCCTCCCCACACACTGGGGCTCCTTTCTCCTCTCCACACCAGGGCACTTTGTTTTTTTCCTCTTTCCTTTTTTTTTTTTTTTTTTTTAATTTTTTTTTCCTGC